CAGGTTAATGAAATTCTGTGGTTGAAACCGTGCTTCTTGGCTAAATAAGTGAAGGAGGTAACCTATTTCAAATCTCTCTCGTTGATAGTGGTTGGTGCTGGTTGTTGGTGGAGGTTGGTTATCTTCATCACCTCCGTATTCCCTGTGTCCACCTGGAGTCCTGTCTTCGCTGACTGCTTCTTCAGCCAGTTCATTGGTTTTCGCCTGTCTGAAGGTCTTCGAGTTTGTGTGATATTAAACCTAAATCATCAGTGAAATCCATATCTTCTAGAGTATTCGTATCGGTCAAACGTATTGTTGTCTTCTCACTCACACAGCCTTCTTCATAATCCAGCCCACCACAATTAGGAATATGGTCGGTATTAGTGGAGGGCGGCCTTGTCTTACTCCTATATTCACTTCGAACGCTTCGTCGAGTTTTCCGCTGTGGATCACCTCACACGATCTTCAGTATGAAGCGAAGACAGTTGTTGATAAAAGTCTGAAGCCCATCGGAAATACTTTTGGTGACTCACCAACACTTCGAAACATACAGAAGAATTGACTGTGCATTTTATCAAATTTCGTCACACTGGGTGACGATTTTATAAATATCATATTCTGACCTTTTAAAAACTAATTGACGGTGGATGCGTACTGATGAAGAGTCCCACAATAGGATGGAGGAAACAGCTGTCCAGTACTCCAAGCTGGTTTTTCAATGTTCCTCTAACTGATTTCAGCTCACGATGAAGTTCTCCAACTGGAAATTAAGTCTCAAAACAGAATAAAACAGCACATTAAGGCTCCATCAGTAAGCTTTACTGTCACCTGCGAATTGTATTCAATCTCAGTTGAAGTCAATAAGTAAAATTTTGTGAAGTATTATCAGTTCTGTCTGTCTGTTTTCGACATAGAACTTTGCACATATGTGCGGCAGTTCAAGTCGCCACACTCCCTTCTTGTAGTACACAAAGCAAGAGGAGAAAGTAGGAGAAATGCTAATTAGAGACAGTAAACAGAGGTGTGAGACAAAGGAATAGTAATAACGAAGAACAAAACAGTTTCATTGGAAATCATAAGTTACAAGGAGTGGATGCATCTGCGCCAGCCACCATTGAGAACGATTTTGAGCCATGTCACCAATTGTTTCCAACCATTGGTTTTTACCGTCCGGAGGACCCAAACCAGGAAGTCTACACCTCCCTACGTGGCTTAGACTAACCGTTGTAGATTTCATTGACTGGTGCCATGTTTTCTTTTGACCACCACTAGCTCTTTTCCAGCCTGACCCTATATCGGCTAACATTGCCCATTGTCGAGGAAGGCGACGACTAGGCATACGTAACACATGTCCTAACCATCTCAGTCGATATAATTTCACAACCTCGTCGACTGATTTCCCCTCCTTACCTAGCACTCGACTGATGCCTAACCTCAATGTTGCTCATCTTATTCCACCACTTCACACAGAAGATAAAACGCAGAGACCTATGATCAAAGACAGCTAAGTGGCCTTTTCATGTCTTCCACTCTCAATGGCCAGGTCTCACAGCCATAAAGGAGGACGGAGTGTTAGTATCATAAATTATGATCTTAATTAAATAGTGCACCAGTTTGACAGATTTGCGTAAGGTGGAACAGTATGACCTATTTCGTCACTTCTCTAGTTGTCCAGTTTTAAATTAGTGGAACAAACAACAAACTATTTCAGTAGTATGTCTAGTGTGTACCTTCATATCCATATATTCTATTCAAACATTTTTCCTGCATATTCCTAAACACTGGGGACTTATTCTTAGTCAATTAAACTTCAAGTCTGTGACTTATTTTTAGAGAGTCACCGATGTAACTGCGTGTAACCAGTTTACCGTTAAAGCCATGCACTTGTGATAGTAAATATCGCATCAGTCATTATTAGACCATTTAAACAAACGTTTCAACCTGATTCCTTCCTGAACAGTGTTCACATGTTATTGTTTTTGCCTAATGAATCAAAAGAACATTGACGTACACCTTGTTAATTGTGTGATATATTTGCGTTGTTATCTAGCGAATATATCAAGTTATTTCCAGTCGATTAGGCCTCATATATTATACACAGACTCTCTCACACACACAAACAAACCTTACCTTAATTACATGGAGATTTGGTATGCTGAGCATAAGTTGACAGGAAATCTCTTCTAATCACAAATAAATATTAGATTGTTGTGTATATATTTTATTGATTATTAAACGTTAACATGTCTGGAAACTTTTGCAATTATACGATCATAAGTGTAACACGCATATATATATGAACATAAACTATGCATGTTTATTACTGTGTCTATCAATGATAAATAATGACTGTGAGGGAAACTTTTAAATAGTGAAATTAATCCAGGCGTATACGGTTATTTCTCATTTCTTTTATTGTCGTGTTTATGGATATTTGGGTAATTTTAAGATAGATATTGTCGAGAAATATGGCATCACTTATAGCATCATTGAAATCCAGGAAGAACTAAAAAGCTGTTTCATTACAGTGTACATCCATGATTCAGCCTGAGAACTAACCGGCGATTTCATCTTACGTGCTGAGCACGTTTGCCATTCGGGTACTTTATCAGAATCCAACGATCTACTGGGTCCATCAGTTTATTTGGCGACGACAGTGATTGGTGTAGAAGCTATGTTGGGAACTAACAGAATTTAGATGTTAATAGGGAATTCAATGATGACTCTCAGTGCGTCGGTGGCATAGTGGTTAGGACGCTCGCTGACCATGCATATGGTCCGGGGTTCGATCCCCGGCCGGCGCACTCCTTTACCTCACTAAGTCAGAAATAAAGCTGGTGAAGAGGAAAGGTTGGGCATGAGGCTAGCAACCCCATCCTGTAAAATAAACACTGCTACAGAAACTTCAAGTACTAGGTTGAAGCCATATGTTCCAGTGGGGAACGTGAAGGAATAAATAATAATAATAAATAATAACGGAATTCACTTCTCACTCAGGGACCAAGTGATTAACCGCTGGCTTCGTAACATGAAGATTTGGTGCTTGGTCTCGGTTCGAGTCATAGGTGTGTACTGCTAAGGAGTTTCAAAAGCGGAACTATTATCCTGTGCTCCTCACTTTTAATAGTTCTTGGAACCAGGTTGGTTTTTGACAAAATCAATCTCAAAAATGTGGTTTTTCATCTACTCATAAGTCATAAGCTGCCACATATGTCACAAGTAAGATCGCCTGGACTGCTGCTGCGGTTAAGCAGCCGCAATTAATCAACTTTCCTGAGTTGTTTAACCTCTTAAAGCAATCACACTTTTTTCTACAGAACGTCAAGCAAAAGCATACGAAATAAATGCTTAAACTGATGGTGAAATAATTGTTGTATTGTGAAAGATTTGGACACAATTTAGTAAATCCTCTGATTAAGTGTTACCAAGGATGTTAGTAAGCTCCTTTAGCACAGCGCAAATTAATACCATTGCGTACTGTGAAGAGTCCCAAACAAGGATGAAACAGATGTCCAGTACTCCCAAGTTTTCCAATGTTCCCCTAACCGATTTCATTTTATGAAGAAATCCTGAAATGATACACCACATCAACGGTGTTCAGGCTATTTAAGGCTATTCAACACAACGTCACAATGAGTCAAGAAACATGTACTGTTCTGACTTTGCCGGCTAATGTAATGATAAACAGACAGTTACGAATTGTTCATTCACAGGACCGCTGGACAACACCTCCAATGGTTGCAAATAAGTAGTGATCTTGTGAGTAGTTGGGCGTCGTAGTCCACCTGGTATAATGCTGGCCTAGTAATTCGGAGGCAGGTGGTATAAAACATACTGTGAAAGAGAAGTTTATTTATTTATCTTTAATTCAGAATAGATTTTCCTGTTGGCTGATTGGGCCGAAACGCTCCTTTCCTGTTGAGATGTCCGCCCCTACCTAGTACGGATTCTTCGACAATGTCTGCGGATGGTGACTAGCAGTGGAACCTTCTTTTTTACTTCTTTACGTTCCCAGTTGAACATATGGCTTCAAGCTAGAGACTTGAAGTTTCGGTAGCAGTGGTGTTTATTTTTACGGGATGGAGTTGCTAGCCTCATATCCAACCTTCTCTCTTTACTAGTGTTATTACTGGCTTGCCTAGGTTGCAGGAATGAGTCGGCCGGGAATAGAACCTTGGACCACATACATGATTGTCGAGCATTCCACTGATATGCCACCGACGCAGTGGAACCTAGGATGACGAGATCGTTCGATATGTCAACAGAGGCTGAACATTTTGGTTCAACAATCAATGGGAAAATCAGTATTGAATTGAAATCAAATAATAAGTGACACTCGTTGCACAAGAGGTGGACCTGCTGGCTCAAGTGGTCTAGTGGATAACACTTTGGCGTTTGAAACTATGGACACTGGGTTTGAGCCTCGTTGGGAACATCATCACTCACTGGGAAATGCAGGTACATCCAAATGATGAGTCACAAATAGGACGAAATGCGCATCCGGGATTCCACTGCTAGTCACCCTCAACCAATTAAATTCTAAATATTACTTTAATTAGACAGAAGGCAGTTTGTTGTAAATATTGAAGTATATGACGTAATCCTAGACTGAATACGCCACAGTCTCTAATTCTCCATTGTACAGTAATCATCATATATTTCTTCCATAAAAATACTTATCACATAAATAACTCTTCCATTCCAGCAGGTTTCCTTTACGTCATCCTCATATCATTAAGGCTATGCTTACTAGTCGGGAGAAAATCAATTACCGTTTATTTTGAAATGCTTCCTTTATTATTTTCTACTTTTAATTGGGCTAATAAACTCTACAAGGGGATTTTTAAATATATTGACAGAAGACTGAGAAGGGAAAAAATATACCATACGGTGTTTATATATTCAGCGTTATCATCAGACTGATCTTGCTTTATTTTCGCCTACCAAAACAATGATATCATTCATTGAATTCCCTTCTTCCTCGTCTTATTCTTGTTTTCTTCTCCTTCTTCTATCAGGTTAACAATGACACTTGTTTGCCTGCTAATCTTTGCTTGTCTGTGTTATCGAATTATTGACTATTTTAATCGATATGAAGCAATGAAGTCGCTGTTTGTATATAATAAATTCAGTCTACCACCTGAAGAATTCACGGATACGCATAATCATAGTGATGCATTCAAGTCAATGGCGAAGTCGTTTACAGAAGAAAAGAAGTCATCAGATTGGTTTACAATAACATTGTGCAATTTAAATCCTATACGGTAAGTTGCAGGGATATTTTGTCCATTATATTTTCTAATAATCATAATAACTGTAATTTATATATGTCCAAACCAAGTTCACTTTAAACAGTTTGAAAAAAATTTAGGCACTGGGTATATGATATTCATTATAATAAAGATTTTTTTGTACTTCCCAATGGATGAAAAAGAGCAAAACGATATCGTTGTGTTTTACTGACGTTTACAAAATCTCAGCTCATATATTTTTAACAACTTACCGTTCCTCAGCATGGGGTCATTTCTCGTTGTCAAATCGGCCAATTGGTAAAGATAACAAAACCAGGTAGCTGTAGATTGTTGGATTTGATCAGTGTGTAAAATTGCAAAAACAGTGTGTGTTTACATAATGAAATTACTTATCACATTCGTGTTGATTTTGTCACTTCGTCGGAGGAGGGAGGTGTTGTAACCATCAGAAAAATGGTATTGCTATGAGTTCACCAGTTTCCCTAATAGTTGCTAACCTTTTCACTAATAGATTCGAAGATAGCAACTTTTCAGGCATACTCACACCTAAAATATGGTTAAGATATGCAGATGATACTTTCGTAGTGCTGAAACGAGATCTTCACAGTTAATTCTTGGAGAAAATAAACAAACTATCTCCCATGAATCCAGTTTACTTTGGAAGCAGAATCAGACGTCGGTGAACTACTATTTGTAGACTGCCTAGTTAAGAGGAGGGAAAACGGACATTTTAGTACATCCATATTTAGGAAGAAAACCCACTGCAACAACTATTTAGACTTCGGATCATCACACCGAATCAGTGCAGATGTATCAGTTGTCTGAGGTTTTCTTAGACGAGCACATTCTTTGATGCTAACGGATAAGAAAGAGAAAGAAGAAGTAATATCAAACATTACTGAAACTCTCAAGCAAAACAACTACCCAAAGAACTTCATCAACAAAATCAGCACTGACATTAAGTATGATCGAAAACGTATTCTGAAAAAATGGACTTCAACAGTTGTCAGTCAATATATAGCGGAGACATTAGACTATATCAGGAGAGTACTCAATAAGCACAACATTAGAGTTTTCTTCAAAACATCAGACACACTGAAAAGCAACCTCATATATATCTACAAAATTAAATGCTTGGAATGTGATGCGATATATATTGGAGAAACATCGCTGGGGAGAAATCAAAATCAGAAGGAATAAACACCGTAAAATGTCAGAAATCGCAAAGAACGTCTCATAGCACCAGCAGCACTTCATATCAAGTGGAATCCACATTGTCTGAATAGTCTGAATGATGGACCAAAACAGAATTTGACCTGGTTAAGACACCCACCCACCTTTTCGCCATGAAATGACAAAATCAACAGGAATACGACAAGCAATTTCATTATGTAAACACACGCTGCTTTTGCAATTTTACACACTTATCAAATTCAACAATCTACACCTGATTTTGTTATCTTTACCAATTGGCCAACTTGAAAAAGAAAAAATGCCCCCATGCTGAGGACCGATGATTAAGTTGTTATATATATGAGATGACTGGATTTTATAAATTCTGGTTTAATAAAACTGCTTTGATAAAGCTATTAGTGGCAGCATTAAATAGCGAAATGTCAATAAAATACGACAATGTCGTTTTACTCCTTTTCATTCATTGGGAAATACACAAAGCTTTATTTTAATGAGTAACTCCAATTTGTCTAAAATATGTCTTCATTAGTGACTGTGAGGTGTTACACTACCTATGGTCGAAGGCGATGTAAAACTGTCTTCGTGCGTAGTATCGAAATTTGCATGAAAGTTCTTACAACAATCAGAGTACACACAGGATTCTATAAAGCTTATATGGTTACGTGTGTATTTAATATATTACTTTGCGTTCCAAGTGAAATGCAGGACTTCAAGTTGTAAGCCTTAGTGGGTACAATATCAGTGGCATCAATTCTTTCACGGGATGGGGTTGCTAAACTCGCATCTAACCTACTCTCTTTGCGGGGATCACTATCGACTAAATGGAATTTCGGAGCGTCTCCTCAGGAGTTCGAACCCCGGACCACATGTAAGATTGTCTAACAGCTTACCACTGAACCACTGACGCAAGGCTGCATGCGTAAAGAACAAAATGCCGAAAATAAATGGAATTAGCGAGAAATGTTATTTACCACTATTTCAACTTTGACTTTCCCATTGATCGGTCTCACCGAAATGTTCGGCCTCTGTTGACACGTCGGCTCTTTATGTAAATATTTTGAGGATGTCTCCGGATTCAACTTCAAGTAGTATAGTGGATGGTGACTAGCAGTGGAATCCGGGATGTGTATCCGGACTCGTGTGCTAGGGGATGTGTCGGCATTCCGACTGGGGCTGGAACCTGTTGTACAATGGATGGTCCTCATGCTTCAGCTGGTCTAGTGGACACTGTTCTGATGTTTGGAACGATAGGTACTTGGATCAAGTCCTGATGGAAACACCATCACTCATTGTGGAGTACAAGTACATCCAGTAGCTGAAGAGTTCTAAATAGAACGGGACACGCATCCCGCATTCCACTGCTATTCAACACTGTGCTCGTAAACACCTTGGATTTAGAGTACATCCTTAAAAAATGTAATGCTTCATCTTACTAGCCTCAATAAAGTTTCTCACTTTTTAACAGTTTCTGCATAAGAAATCGGAGTTGATTTTTGGTGAAAATTTAAGGGTGTGTAAAATGAATGATTTTCTGGTTGACTCAAGCTCTCCTGTAATTTTCATCCCAACATTAGTAATATAAAGTCAAGACAAAAAAACGGTTGTATTTTAAGGCTGAAGTGAATACATTTCAGAGAAAAGTGACTGTAAAACATGAATTAATTTTCCTGGAACCGTAGTTGGAATAATATTGAAAGTCAGGTTTGAAGTCATTTCATTGACAGGAAGGGAAAACTTTAGTCAAAATAACTTTCAATAATCGATATGGAATTCGCTTTCTTTCAAATTAAGAAGCAGAATGTTAAACGTCTTCCATGGACACTTGTACAACTCGTCAAACTTGAAGTCTGTTCCAGGAGGTTTTAGCAGTGATTTGGATAATATGGTTACTTACGAAGAGATCAGTATTTATAGATATCCTAAATGCAATGACAGATTAGGTATTTGCAGGTTCAAGATTTCTCGTTTAAATCTGTCAGTCTAGTCGGTATTTGAATTTAAATTTAAATGGAGAAAATGCAGCTCAAAGTGAAATCAACATTTTAGGCCAATGGCTGCAGAATTTACGTTTTGGACAGGAAACAACCTCATTGAACAGACTGTTTAACCTTGGGGCTAATTGACAGCTCATCATAACGATTTATTCTTTTCTGAACTAATCTAACTTTAAAGTGGCTGAGAATATATAAATATGATGTGTTTTACCTTAATAAAGGTCCGTTACCAAGTCTCTTATCTTCTTGCGTTACATACTTCGCTTGTACTTCCAGCAAATATCACAGAACTAGGCTAGCTGGTAAATTTCATCTTCTCAACTTCAGTTGGTTCCGTTATACACCCAGTACAATATGCGTATAATTTGCTCACAGGATAGTGTGCGTTAGTCATCTCTTGACTTAATTCAGCACTAAATTCTTTCAGGAGTGTGAACAGCTTAACTTGAACTCAAAATAATATCACTCACTTCTGTGATTATATGTCGATTGAATAGGTGTATTGAACAAACCGAAACTTCTTGTATGAAAAATATTTTCATGAAGATTGAGTTAACGTCATTAGCAAATTTAGGCCTTTGACATCACTAACTACCAATCAGTGAGTGACCTCGAACGCACCAACCACATGAAGGAGGCATTTTTGAGTATGGAATATATACATATATATTTATGAAACAAATGCATAAAAGCTGTATAAAACTGTTACATAAAATATCTTTCTCTGACATGTGATAAAAACATCTCCCCATTTAGCTTAGGAGTATCAATTGAAAAGTTACACCACAACCTATGCATATATCCACCTAAATGACTATAAATGACATCCTTCTTAGATCCATTAATGGCTCTAATCCTGTTTTTAATCTTCCCCAAAAGCCTTCTATAAAATTGGTGTGTGTTCCTGTAATGTGATCCACAAAATCTGTAGAAAGGTTGACTGTGTGGTGACAAGGGATGACATGGAGTTATAACCTTTCCACTTATCGGTGGGTATTGTGGATCCTTATTTCACAAGTCGAGTGATAATAGGTATTAAGGTAGTTGACTTTCTGTCTGCTATCCTCTGGACGAATCTTTTCTGTAGAGAGGTATCATATAAGCCAATCACCCAAACATATAAGACAGTTTCATGCACATGTACGATGACACCTTCTCCTCCCGATAACTAAGTCTCTCCATTTTCCAGGATGCGATATTCCCTCAGTACTGGTACCATTGAACTGTTAATAGGAGACTATTTTCAGTTTCCGCAGCTGCACCTCTCAGAGGCTGTTTTAAAACCCAGTTAAAACACAAAAATACAAAATCTGGATTAAGGACAAGTGGGACCTGGCAAAAAATGTTCCTACAAAATATTAGAATCATAAGCTTACCCACACTTACTCGTCTCAAACAAACTACACAACGATGGGCATGTCCATCAACCGACCTGCTGAAGCTTTTTATACTCATGACACCTCCATACGAATAAATCCTTTCTTTCCTAATCAACCCCACAGCCAATCAATACTAGAAAACCTTATCCTCACCAAATTACAAGCCCAACTGAGTTAGAGCAGGCAATTGACTCGAATCAAGTGGAATAGAACCTTCAACTCACGTAGATGAAACCCACTAGACCATTCAAGGTCAATGGTATGGTCATACTCCATTAGTACTTATTAAAGCTTAAAGTTTAACTTGGTCGCGTCATTCGTGAAACTTTCCTTGGGAGAAGACAGTGAATATATATATATAAATTAACTGTGAGACGGAATTAAACGAATAGCGCTCAAGATTCGATAAAGAGGGTCAACTTAGTACACTTCAAGACAATACAAGGCATTATTCTGTTATATACAATCACTAATCATAATTTACTATGAAGTGTAATAGAACCCTATGGTGTGCAGTATGTATTTTATTGGAAATTTTTTTGTGTGTATTACTTTGTCTGTAATCGTTTTCTGGCAATAATTCAATATTCTTTTGTCTTTTTTCGTCCCCAACTTCCACTCACCTTGTCGAATGAACTTTATTTTAGCGGTAGCGCATTATTCACTGTACAGAACGGTTCACAAATCTATGATATGATATCAAAAGATCGTCAAAATGAAATGGACTCCAGTGTCAATATTATAAGACAGACTGGTGGAAATAATCGTGTACCAATAGAAATACTCAAGCAGACAGGGCACAAATTGAATGAAATGTTGAAATAGTAAGTTTTTAAAATTTATTTTGAAATTATTTTGAATTGCGTTAAATATTACAGAAATATCTTCGCAGATTACTGTCTGAAATCTTACGAGTTATTTGGATTTATTGCTGAACAATGACAGAGCAGTTTAGTGAAAAGTGTCTTTTCGACGAATTCATTCATCTTGAAGTCGTTCAACAACTGCCACCTCGCGATACAGTTCACGCTGGAGAAAGATTCCAACACCAAAATATCCTTTCTTGACGTCCAACCAACAAGACGAGAACAGGGTGGAACACTGAAAAGGTCTATCTACAGAAAGTCGACTTGGAACGGACAGCTTACTAACTTTCACAGTTAGGTACCCCTATACACCAAACGAAACCTGATCCGTTCACTCAGCTACAGAGTTCGCAGAATTTGCATCCCGGACACCATAGAAGATAAACTGGACAATCTCAAGAGAATCCTCGTCGAGAATTGTTATGCAGAAAGATTTATTGCAAAATCTATGAATCCTACACCACAAAAGCCACCCATGCTTCGTGTCCCGAAAACCTACTCCACATGAGTCTTCAATTCAATGGAGATTTATCTGCGGAAACAATAAAAAGTCGACTGTCGCGCTCACTTAGGAAAACCTTCTTCGCAGCTGAACTACGACTAACCTTCTCAACAAAACCTATGATTCGTGTGGGCGTGAAAGATAAGCTACCACTGTTGGCCTCGTCAATGTGTTCGTATCAATTCACCTGTTTGTGTGGAGCCAGGTATGTCGGCCGTACCCAATGCTCGCTTTCCAAACGTACCATCGAACATTTACCCACGGTCATGGTCTTACAAAGGGGAAAAACGATGCTCCCGCAGCTCCATCTTAGAACATCTGATAGATTCCGGACACCAAGCTACACCCCAAACAAACTTCAAAGTCGTCTACAGAATACGAAGCAGTCTTCCGAAAAATGTGTACGAATCAGACTTCTTCAAACTGCATAAGCAATGGCGATTCACTCGCTAAGTCCTGAACTCTGCATACAGAAGAAGTTCGTTCAATCACTACACTTGCAATGGACGTAATGTATCATATTACCCGATAAGTAAATTCTACCTAATCTTTTTTTCTGTCTCTTCATTAGTATTATTTTGTCTTCTCAGTTGTAATATTTTACATTTTCAACTTTCTTGTTCTTTAACCCACCAGATTTAATGTCTGCACCTCATTATCACTGTTACTGACTTGACCAACTCTCAATTTCTAGTCATTTATGTTACGTCATCCAACTTATTTGCTCAATTCCAGTTCTAATTGAAATGGCATTATTCTCTAACCCACTTCTACTTAGTCTCTACCTGTAATTCCCTCTGTTGCTACCCTGACCTAAGTTGAAACATTTCAGTCAATTATACTTCGTCATCTAACTTACTAACTCAATCTTACTTTAGTTGCTGTCTATTAAGCTTGTTTCCATATTAGATCAACCGTGTATTACTTGATTAATTATCTAAACCTGACAAACCTCATGTACACACACCCATACAAATTTTTTTATTCCTTCACGTTCCCATTGGAACATAGGGCTTCAAGCTAGAGGCCTGAAGTTTCTGTAGCCGTGTTTATTTTTACAGAATGGGGTTGCTGGCCTCATGCCCAACCTTTCCTCTTCGCCAGCATTATTTCTGGCTTAGCGAGGTAAAGGAGTGCGTCGGCTGGAGATCGGACCTCGAACCATGTGCATGGTCCGCGAGCGTCCTAAACGCTATGCAACCGACGCTAATGAGGATTTTCAAGCTACACGAATTCATTCATTCAACTGTACAATCACTTTCATAATAATAGTAATATAATTCTCTTTTCCATGTGTGTGTTTGTACATAAGGTTGGTCAGACAAGAAGAAAACTTGGTCTAGGTTATTGCTGACGTTATCAAAATATTTCCAAATTGTGATGAATAATCGAAATGTCAACTTAGTTGGGGGTGGATGGGTGAAGATTAGTAAGTCTAGACTAGCGTTATGTAATGTGAAAACGTTTAGAAATAATTGGATGCTACTGAAGGACCATGGCGACAAGTAAAAAAATAAATTATGTAGTATGTGAAAAGAGCAAATACAATGCACAGAATAGTATTCATTCCAAAATGTTGATGACGACTGAACTTGAAATTATAACCATGGTAGAAAGAGGGGATGGAGAAGTTTCTTCTGCACACATAAATCAAGGTTTTCCAACAGAATCTACAAGGCCTCCGCACTGCAAAGTATACGAAAGCTCCCCGTTTTCCGTAGGCTTCCTCTGACTTTGTAGACAGCTTTGAATAAACTCTCCTTCCCTATTGAGTGACCAGTGTTGAATATATGTTCAATTATAGCACTCCTTATTGATCCACTGTTACCTTTACGTAGCCAAACGGGATAATGTTTCTTGATTCTTTTAGATAAAACATGCATTGAGTGACTTATCTATCCCGCTGCACATGAGCAAGTGACTCGGTCGATACACAAAGAAGTGGTTTAGTGAGATAGTTTATCTTTAAAGTTTTTGAAAAACATACTGAATGGCAAGAGAATACCAGTCGTAGTGAAGAGTGTTTTTTCCAGAGTGTTTGATATTCTTTTCTTTAGGATATCTATCAGAGTGTCGCTTTTGAATGCCATGTTCATGTATGCTATCTTCTCTGGCAAAACGATAAAGTGTCTTTTGTTGGTTTGGGTCTTTATGAGCTTATCTGCAAAGATCGTGGTTGGAGGGGTGGTAACTGTCCTCAGGCGACGTCTTCCTCAAAAGAGTGATTTCCTCGTATATTGATTCGGGGCTTCAGATTTTTTGGATCCTAGTTGAAAGAGATAGTATCGGGTCCCGCTTGTGACTAATGGGTATCTAACTGTAAAAGTCTGTCAATTGGCTGTTCCACGTGGATTTTTTTATACTGGTCTGTTCAAAGTTCCACAAGTCTTCTTTGTTAGTCGAACGTCTAAAAAGGAGACTGTTTGTCCTATTTCTACCTCAAGAGTAAGTGTGATGGCTGGTTGATAACTATTAAGAACTTGGAGGACATTACTTAAGACCCATTTCTTATCACAAATGGTGAAATTATCATCAACATGCCCTTTTCGAAGAAGAAAGCTTGGCATGAAAGGGCCTACAAGTACCGACACTAAAAATGGTCCGATAGCCACATCATCTCCCTGTCTATGAATAAGTTTTTTCTGAACTTTTTCAGATTACATAACCCTAATCTAAACTTACTGATCTTCAACCAACCACTCCCCCACACTAAGTTAGCATTTTGATTATTCATCATAATTTGGAAATATTTTGATGACGTAAACAAAGTCTCGTGTGAGTCGAAGGCACAGCGGTAGAATGCTCGCTAACCAAACCTGTGCTTCAGGGTTCGATCCTCGGCCGACGCACTCCTTTACCTTGCTGAGCCAGTAATAAAGCTGATTTGGAAGAAAGGTTAGGCATGAGGCTAGCAACCCCATCCTGTAAAAATGAACACCACTGCTAACGAAACTTCAAGCCACTAGCTTGAACAATCACCCAAGCTAACTTTGCTTCTTGTTTGACAAACATAGTGCACACACATGACACTTATATCAAAAATAATTATGTATGATCGCGACTGTACAGTTGAGTGGATGAATTCGCCGAAAAGACACTCTTCACTCAACTGATTGTTCTTGTTTCCATGTTTAGGTGGGTATTTTTCGTGAATTATTGCTGAGAACCCAGATCTGCCTTCTTATTTTGGTATGTGTCAGTATTGTGTTTTGATATACGTCCGGATTAATCCCATAAACATTCTTGTGTGCTTCATATAACAGGGTGACCTTTTATTCAAATTAAATGGCTTGTTGTATATATACCACAAATGCTCCTAACCGTTATACTGACTTTTATAATACCAACAATACAGCACAGTAATATGTTTATTTTTGGGAAAAAGGACCAATCACAGTCGATGGAAATTGTCAACCTTATCATTTTTATAAAGCACAAAATAGTTGAGCAAAAAATATCCTTTTCGATAGTTTCCTCTCCTGGCTCTACAATTACATATATTTGCCTATATGCATAGAATATTCTAGATTAGTAGTCAATAACAATATTAGTGTTTTTTAAATAATATTGATTTGTAAAGTAAGACAAGGCTGCCTACTATCACCAATGATTTTCCTGATTGCAGTAGATTGGATAATGCGACAAACAGTGGGCAATGAGGAAACAGGCATAAAATGGACTCACACAAAAAACTTGGAGGATCTGGACTTCGCCCATGATATATGTTTGATTTCCCACAAACTGGAAGATATGCAAGTGAAAAGTTACAAGTTGGCAGAACAAGCATCCGGAGAAGATAGGAAGGACTTCAGGTTAACATAGAGAAAACAGAGGTGATGAAGATTCCTGGGCAATACCACCAACAGCAATAACAACAACAGACAACAATCAGCATAAATGGAAGGAAGCTGACAGAAACAACCCCTTTTACCTACCTGGGAAGCATTGTTTCAACTACATGTGGACAGAACTGACGAGGATATCAAAGCAAGAATCGGGAAAGCAAGACAATCTTTCACTACTCTCAAGTCTGTGTGGAGGTCAACAGCACTCAGCATCAAAAATAAGATCCGGATTTTCAACTCCAATGGGAAGTCAGTGCTACTCACTATACGGATCAGAAACTTGCACTGCGCGTCATAAAGAGCACATCAAACAAACTACAAACCTACATTAACAGTTGTCTTCACTCAATACTCAAGATCAGATGGCCAGAAAAGATCAGCAATAGGGATGGATCTCTGGGAGTGAATTAACCAGGAACCGATTGTAAAACAAATAGGCAGGAAGAAATGGAGATGGATTAGCTGGCCATACTCTGAGGAAACCATCAAGTGACATCACTAGACAAGCCATTGCTCGAGTGGAACCCGAAAGGGAAGCGGCGAGTTGGTCGTCAGTACAAGGGTGATTTGGAGGAGGTCATATGAAGAGGAGATGAAGGCGTGTGGGTAAA